TGTGTTTTTAACATCTGATGTTTTTGATACTATACTGGAAAGCTGGAAAAGATAAATCTTGGTGGGTAGAATGTGGATTTGTAGTTACTGTGTCGTCATCTGAACTTTATAGGAATATTGTTCTCTAAAGAATGCTATCATTTGTGGTGTACATAATTTATTGACCGTCACTAGTATGTGTTGTGTTTGTTGAGTATCTGGTTGTGTTTGGATGCAGAAAACCTTTTGTTTATCATTTTCTGTGGACTAAAAATCAAGCAGGACAAAGTAAATGAAATTTTGAAGTACATTACCTGCAGAATCTTCTGTTTTGCGAATTCACAAAAGAATAAGGTTTTGGATTGCATAAATTTCTCCCAACAAAATTGTTCAAGAAGATGAGGCATTTATTCTGGGAGTTTGAGAAGTAAAAACTTGTGTTTATCTATCAGTGACTGCAAACTGTTGACAAACAGCGGAGATGATTACTATCCGATTCTAATTTTACTTTTTCGGCTACTAGTTTCTTAGCCATTTGGTTTTTCTGTTAAATACTTTCTGATTTTTATTTTTGTTTTTTCCTTTTTTTGCCACGCAATTACGCCCGGCCTTTGTTGTAGATCATAGAAATCAAAGCACAACATGTACTTGTAAATTGTGGTTTACTAAATTTTTTTTTTCTCTTTTTTTTTCTCATCATAGTTGAGCAGTAGGTATGCTCATCGTATAAATATTAAGTCTATTTAGTCACTTTTTGCTTTTTTTCATTTGACCAACAATGAGTGGGCTCTGAGATCACTGTATTAGTTTCAATTATTAGGTAAATTAGTCGCTTATAGAGATTTTGTCTTAGATATTCTGTTTTGGAAAGGACTGTATCAAAATTCACAGGATAGGGTAATCCTATTTGCATTATTTTGTGGACTGTGTATTCTTGTCAACAATATTTTTATACGGTTCAGGCGGAAAGGTACAACTGCTGCTCTCAACTTAAGTGGTGTGATATCACTGCCCATAAGGTTACAATCATGTCCTCGCTGTTGTGTTTTAACTTACTTTTTTGGTAATGTTAGACTTTTATTGAGGTTAATCTTAGTGTACATTCTGGTGTTTGATTTGTGTGATATCACTTATCAGAGTAAGCCCTTCAAAGATTGCCACCATCGCCCTAGAGATTGTAATGTGGGATCATATCCTCTAGGGAGCTACTTTTTTTGTTTTGGCAGAATGCAAATTTGACAGTGAATTTGTTATTTCACATGATGTAATCGTAGATATTTATACTCTTCTTGACCGAGTACCTTATTCAAGTAGATTACAATAAAGAAGAGTTTTGGGACTAGCTGATACGGTATGAACTATTCCTTATTGTGTTATTTGTGCTAATCTAAAAAGCTTCATCGTATTCTGTATAGTTATAGTCAAGCATGTTTGGCTACTACGCTGGACTATTGCATGAATTGTTGGATAATGAAAGTTAATTTTATGATCTCTTTCTTATACTTTCGTAGATTTAGTTCAACATAAAGTTAAAGTACTTACAAAGATCTGGTTGAACCTAAATAAAGAAATATAATCCATGTTTAGTTGGGTCATTTAGTAATAAATCATTGTTAGGTTTGTCTTATCATCTTCAAACCTTTTCCAATTGTGTACAATATTATTCTCACACTAGGATGAGTGCCTATCTTTCAACTTTTAATTGATTTGAGTGTTGGATAGTCTATCCTGAATTTGGACAAGTTCTACAAATATTTTTGAATGTTACAATTTGGAGGAGTCTATAAAGCCTAAAAAGAGTTCTGGACTATCCATCTTTTTAAGCACAAATCATATGATGAATAGCTTTAGAAATCACATTATGATTAGTAGTTGTGTGTTTTTATTGAACTCAACTATGCCTTTTTTTTTTCCCGAGAAAGCTTTGACTGTAGGTGCATAATTTGGTAGGATTGTATTTGGAAACTGGTACCTGATGAGCCTCTCTCTCGGCAATGTATATTTTTTTTCCTTCTGCTTTTGATCGGAAACCTTTTTTTTCATTTTTTTCTTGACTTCGAGCTGCAAAACAGACACTCCACTGTAAATATACATATATAATGTATATATACTTTCTGTTGCAGAATATCGATTTCCTTTGTGCATTATGCGTGTACATATTTTGATTGACTTTTGCGGTTGAATTATAATCATAATAGAGAGACATTATGACAACTCATGATCTATGAAGGCAAAGAAGGAAGAAGAAAATGAAGCTAGATTCATTTGAATCGAGGATACATTAGGAGATAACTATCATGCTGAATGTGGGGGCTTTTAGGATATAGGAATATTGTTTATTTAGCTAAACTATATACCGTACAAGTAATATGGCATTATCGATGCAGATAAAGTATTTGAGGGCCGACGTACCAAATAATTGGAGAAAGTCACTAGCAATATGCCAAATATCAAAATAACCTACAAAGTGTTATCAATAGAAATCTTTTGTTGGTATAGCAATATATGTTATCAACTTTTTTGGACAGTGGATCGTTATGTGAATTCGAATGGACAGTGGAAGTGGGATCTGCTCATGCACTTATTGCCTAACTCTTTCATTTCGATGATTGCATCTACTTTGCCACCTTTTCCAGACACTGAACAGGACTAGATATATTGGGGCTCTTCTAACAATGGTAAGTTCAGCACTTCATCGGCGTATATGTATCTGACCCAATCGAAGCAACAACCTTCGCACCAAATTTGGAAGCTTATTTGGCGGTAGGTTGGACCTAAACAACCTTCGCACCAGAATGTACACTAAGATTAACATCAATAAAAGTCTAACAGTACCAAAAAAGTAAGTTAATACACAACAGCTAGGACATGATTGTAACCTTATGGGCAGTGATATCACACCACTTAAGTTGAGAGCAGCAGTTGAACCTTTCCGCCTGAACCGTATAAAAATATTGTTGACAAGAATACACAGTCCCCAAAATAATGCAAATAGGATTACTCTATCCTGTGAATTTTGATACAGTCCTTTCCAAAACAGAATATCTAAGACAAAATCTCTATGAGCGACTAATTTACCTAATAATTGAAACTAATACAGTGATCTCATAGCCCACTCATTGTTGGTCCAAATGAACATGTAACAACAAATTTCGTGTATTGAATTTAAAAGCACGAAAAATATTATTCAAATGAATTTCTTGAATCAAAATAAATATAATGGGTTACAATCTCTAATTTCTCCTCTGATTCTTCTCACGAACAATTTTAAGTCTTGGAGCGAAATCTTCGGCTTGATCTTCTCCTTGACTTTGACTTGAATTAACGTTAATCCGAGGGCCAACGCCTTGATTTCGGATCAAACGTCGAAATATCCCAAGAACGCGAAGAACACGAATTGGGTTACAATCTCTAATTTCTCCTCTGATTCTTCTCACGAACAATTTTAAGTCTTGGAGCGAAATCTTCGGCTTGATCTTCTCCTTGACTTGATTTGACTTGAATTAACGTTAATCCGAGGGCCAACGCCTTGATTTCGGATCAAACGTCGAAATATCCCAAGAACGCGAAGAACACGAATTCTTGGTCTTCGTCGCAAAGTAGATCTTGAATCTTCTCCACGCCGGTTTTGAATTTACTAACGTTATTCGGAGGCTTTGCAGCTTGTTTCCGGATTGAACGCCAGTCTTGAGGTTGAATGCGCTTGAATCTTGCTTCGAATTCTTCAAGAACGCCTTTAAATCTTCAAGAACACTTGAATCTCGTCGAGAAAATTCTCTAGAGCTCTTGAACTTTGAATATGAATTATGATGTGTGTTTTTGACATTAGGGAGAGCCCCTATTTATAGGTGTAGGATGGAGAACCCTACCAAATTTAAGAATCGTAGGACACGATTTGATTGGTCCATGATGATTCACATAAGATCTTTTAGATCTACTTAGATCTTCCAAGATCTTCTAGATGCCATATGATTTATTACCAAGAATTAAGATTTGACACTTGGCATTATTTGATTGGTCAAGAATTAAAATATTAAAATATCAATTAATTAACTATTTAAATTTATGAATTAAATTTATGGAAATTCCTAAAATATAAATAGAAAATATGACTTGATTTTTAATAAATTAATTTCCACGTGGCGCCATTTGATTGGCCACAATTTTTATGTCTCTACAGAACAAAAGCAGAAAGTGACTAAATAGACTTAATATTTATACGATGAGCATACCTACTGCTCAACTATGATGAGAAAAAAAAAGAGAAAAAAAAAATTTAGTAAACCACAATTTACAAGTACATGTTGTGCTTTGATTTCTATGATCTACAACGAAGGCCGGGCGTAATTGCGTGGCAAAAAAAGAAAAAAACAAAAATAAAAATCAGAAAGTATTTAACAGAAAAACCAAATGCCTAAGAAACTAGTAGCCGGGAAAGTAAAATTAGAACCGGATAGTAATCATCTGCGCTGTTTGTCAATAGTTTGCAGTCACTGATAGATAAACACAAGTTTTTACTTCTCAAACTCCCAAAATAAATGCCTCATCTTCTTGAACAATTTTGTTGGGAGAAATTTATGCAATCCAAAACCTTATTCTTTTGTGAATTCGCAAAACAGAAGATTCTGCAGGTAATGTACTTCTAAATTTCATTTACTTTGTCCTGCTTGATTTTTATAGTCCACAGAAAATGATAAACAAAAGGTTTTCTGCATCCAAAACACAACCAGATACTCAACAGACACAACACATACTAGTGACGGTCAATCAATTATGTACACCACAAATGATAGCATTCTTTAGAGAACAATAATCCTAAAAAGTTCAGATGACGACACAGTAACTGCAAATCCACATTCTACCCACCAAGATTTATCTTTTCCAGCTTTCCAGTATAGTATCAAAGACATCAGATGTTAAAAACACAACATTACTCTAACTCCAGTAGTTGAATACGAAAACAGAACGTAAAATATATACACAAAACAAAAGAAGCTACCACCACAATCAGTCAATGACTGTCACTCGTCATCACCCTTGTCCGGCCACCATCTCGGCCGAGGAAAAGTCAAACCCCTCTTCTTAGCCGTCTCTAAAAACTCAACATCTTCACCACCACAATCCTTATCTCCAACAACAACCCTCAGTACATTCAAAAAGTCCAATAAACCCTTCTTCGACTCCATTGTCTCCCCTGAACTTTGTCCTTCAACACTCTTTCCTTTCCCCTCCAATGTCACAGGCAAATGCCTCTTTCTTCCTAACCCACTAACATCATTAGCTGCTCTCTTCTGACTTCCTTGGCCATCACGCGCACCAACATATCTGAACTTGTCAATTTCCTCAATGCTCTTACCCTTAGGCGAGGATGGTTACTTTGTATATATCTAAATGTACCACAAAGTAAGCAATTTGTATATATCTAAATGTGACTTTATTTCATCTATCGCTTGCGAGCACCATGTTTTAATTTCACGCTTCAATTGCTCGTACTTGTATAATTGACTACTATTCAAGTAACCATATGTCTTCTTTCGTAATAAGCTTCGCTCACATGGTCTCGTAAACACTTAGCATCGTGGCAATGGGCACCTAGCACAATTATTGCTAAGCGTTTCAAGACTTTCATGCCCACAGGTCGTCGCCCAGCTCCGCGAGCTTAGGCGAGACTACCAGGCTCTCGCCCTACAGAGGTCGTCGCCCAGATCCGCGAGCTTAGGCGAGAATACCAGACTTTCGCCCTACAGAGGTCGTCGCCCAGCTCTGCGAGCTTAGGCGAGACTACCAGGCTCTCGCCCTACAGAGGTCGTCGCCCAGCTCCGCGAGCTTAGGCGAGACTACCAGGCTCTCGCCCTACAGAGGTCGTCGCCCAGCTCCGCGAGCTTAGGCGATACTACCAGGCTCTCGCCCTACACAGGTCGTCGCCCAGCTCCGCGAGCTTAGGCGAAAGTACCAGGCTTTCGCCCTACAGAGGTCGTCGCCCAACTCCGCGAGCTTAGGCGATACTATCAGGCTCTCGCACCAACATAAAACGTGTTTCATGAATACGTTTTATAATTAAAAAATAAATATAAAATTAATTTTAATTTAAAAACAAATTTATATCATACGTATTTTATTTTTTTTACTTTAAAACGTATTTAGCCAATACGTTTTCCTATATTTTAATTAAGTTAATTACGTTAATTAAGTTAACAATTTTTAATAGAAAGCACGTATTTCGTGAATACGTTTTACTATTGAAAACGTATTATGTAAATATGTTTTACAATTAAAAACGTATTAACGAAATACGTGCTTTCTATTTTGGTCGACTTTTTTCTTTTTTTTTGTCCACTTCATTTTTTTTTTATTTTTTGTTAGTAAAAAATTCCTAATTGGTACCCATTACCCGGCGCCTAGTTCGAGCTCTAGGAGGCTTCGTGAATCAATTTATTTATATTTATTCTCATACATAATTTATATATTACATTATGTAAATTTATACCAATTAAGACGATAAAAGAAGTTATTTTATATATTTTTTTTAATGGAACGAAAGTAAGAAAAGCTATTCAGCCGAATATACAGCCAACGGCCGAATAAGCTGAACAACTGAGTCTTGTAGAAAGGTCTACACGTACAAATAAACGACAACCTAGAGTCAACCTACAATACACAACACAACGAAGAAAAAAAAAGATCCCAAAAGAAAATAAACCAAAAGCTCCCAATAGAAGAATACACCAAACGCTCCGAAAAGAAAAAAGATCCCAAAAGAAAATAAACCAAAAGCTCCCAACAGGAGAGAAGAAGAAAAACAAAAACAAAACGAACCACAACATACAAACTAAAAACACCTAAACAAAACCTAAACATGAAACGAACACTACTAAACACATCGAAACAGTCCTCCCCGCAACAGACAAACTACTCCAAGCTACACCACGGCAACGCGAACGGATCTCCATCCATAAGGACCGAGTCACAGCCGAAGAGTCCGATCTAGAAACTGCAATAGAACGCCTAACTAAATCCGACACCAATGGCCCCAACCCAATCTGGACGGACACCTCAGCCCTAGCCCGGAGACCCGCACCTCAACCACCCACACAGACGACACCATTGAACAGGCCCAAATCTTTTTGTTTCTCTCATGAAATTTGACAGGCAACTCTAAACACGTTGATTTATAGAGAGCTTTTTATAAAGAAGCTATAAAGTTAAGGAGAGACGATAAAGACCATCAGAATTAAGTTTGGTCTCGTTGATGGTTTCATAATTCGTACTATTAAGTAAACTGGAGATACTTTGAATTATATTTCGATTTGGAACATTTTCGAATTAGTCAACAATTCTCCATAGCATCCGTATGTTGGATAGGCAAAGTTCCAAACGTTATATACAACATCTCATTTGCTCAATGAATTATTACAGATATACAGCAAAGATGAACACTAAATGTGTTGAGCTATAGTTTATCTACCAAGTTACAGTACTAATATGCATATTGCTTACAGAACTATCGCACGCCTGTAAAACCATCCTTTTCGTTGCATAATTCAGTACCAAGTACAAACCTCAAGGGTACTTTCCATTCCTGAAAATCGANAAGAAAAAAAAAAAAAAAACTATTAACATATATTTGAAAAACGTGTCTTTTAAGCGATAGAATCAAGTCGGACCTGTAAACGATCAAAGAAAAGAATATCCTCTCAACGTATCATAAATACAGAAACATCCAATAATGAGAAAAACAAAAGGTACATCAAATTTATTAATGCATAATGTTTTTGTTTCATACACTTGAACTGTTGATACATTGATTCAACCGATTATCCAAAAACGAGTATTAGTCTACAGATACATGTACAACTATCTATAGTTGATTTCAAGGTCTACCTTATGAATGTGCATGAAAAACTCAATTAAAGGTCTACCTTATCGAATGTCGGGCTTTTTGATCTAGATCTTTACCATTGCGCATGGCAGCAAGTTCCTTCTCCACTGTGGCTACTTCTCGCCGCATTTTCTTGGCCTCAACTTCCATAGCTTTATTCAACATATCAACCTTTTTTGCCAACATCTGTGTGGTTTTCATGCCAAAATGTCCAAAGTAGCGTGAGAGAGAGAGAGAGAGAGGGAGATAGAGAAGGAGAAGATATGCATGATAACAAAACTACCCCAGGTTTGGAGAATTGAAAAAAGAATCCAAAAAGGTTACTAATAAACTTTCAAGTTTTTCTCTTCCAATTACCCCAAACCTCCCATATAGTATTCTTAATAATAAAATAGGAAATAATCACGAAACCTCAATCACGTCATCCTTGTCCTTCAGGCTTTGATCTTTCAAATCGCAAGCTTTACGCAGTGATATGACCTCTTTCTGCAGCATGTCATACAGCGCGCCCGAAACACAGTCTCCATCATCAGTTTTCAGCTTATTATCAGTCAAAACACACCCGTTCCCATTGTTTAGCCTGCTATCACTGTAAAATGAGCTCGACAAATTCTTCACGTGATTTGGACTACTTATTGATCTGGGTGATCCTGATATTCTCGCTTTTCTCGACAAATAAACATTTGAAGGTGGTTTGGAAAAGTTCTCTAATCCTCCTTGTGAGTGTCTACGTGAAATCCCATTGCTCATACTTCTTCCTAGTGACGGAGCACGGTTTGTGCCGTTGGGACACGCTTTAAGCCTTTCCTCCAACACTTTAAAGCGTAATTGGAATTTTTCCTAATAGTAACATAAAAAGGATTAACATCAGTCTTTATAGTGAAAACAACAGGCAAGAGAAGAGGTTGTCAATCATCAAGCATTGCCAGTTTGTCACCTTCATTTGTGCTTCTGCCTTAGCTGCACGGTCTGCAATTGCCAGCTTATCTCTTAGTTGTTGCATTTCTCCCTGTCCCGACCCAAAATTGAAGACTGAATTATATCAAGCGTGATGCATGAATATGATATATCATGGTTACGATATTCCATCACTCATTACTAAATAAATTTCTCCATCTTTTATTTCTTGAACATTTGAAATTAACTTTGTCAAATATTTAAACCGCATTTCGTAAAACTAGGAAAAAAAAAGTAGTCTTAGGGTATTTTATTTTTTACTGAAATTACAAATCAGCTGTGTAATAGTAACAGGAACAAAATACTTTTGACAGCAGTTGTGAATCTTTTTGAAGTGCTTTACATTTCCACAATCATTAAACTTTGTATTTTTCCGAAATTATAACAATCAAGGTCATTTAGAGGACCTGATAGAATTTTCTTTCTTCAAGCCACTGCTTTACTGGCATAACTTTGTCACTGGCATCTTTCCAATCATTTGCAACGACGACAGCTACACGATTTGCCGATATCTTAGCACGAGCCAATTCACGATCTAGAATTCTTTTCTCTTCCTGCTCAAGCTTTGACAATTAGAAACACCTCACGAAGAGCTTCCATTGATATAATAATTGAAGACTGGAAACTTAAAGCACTTTACATTAATCTCTTGCACTTTTCTTTGGTATTCACGAACAGCATTTGCAGCGGCACCTCCAGCCAGAACAGCCTCTTCGAGTTCACGAACTGTTTGCGTTAGCTTCTCCACTTCCGAAACCTTTTTTCTATGCATTTTGTCCAATATTTTATTCTCTTCCTGATATGATACCATAAGTTTTATCAAAAATCTGTACTGGAACCTGATTCATATAGACACAGACAGTTCTAAAACACCAAACCTGGCAAATCTCAATCTGTTTGCCAAGCTCTTGGTTCTTGTTCTGCAAATCATCAACCAAGGATGCTTTTGCTAGAGCCATCTGAACCATACGTTCAGCGTCCAACAGAGCGGCCTCTTTCGATTTAGTGAGCCGGTCGAGAGCTTTATTATCCTCCTGCAGCTTTGCCACCTTATATAAAGCGACATCCATATCCGATCAGATGACATTTACATCCACTCAGGATAATAATTGATAAAATTTTGAAAATGATAAAATTGCCTTACTTCCGTCCTTGTTAGTTTTAGCTCGGCTTCCAGAGGCGTGATGATTGCCTCTATTGGGGGCATCTCGTCATCTTTCTGGGCAACATGCACCCTTCTAAGTGTGGCCTCAGCAGCAAATTGTGCAGCCAAGGCTGCTTTTTTCTCCTCATTTATTTTCTTAATTTCGAGATTCTGAGATTCACAAGAAAGAATGGAATATTAAAATCTTATAGAATCCATATGTTAAATATTCAAATATTTCTCAATAGATTCTCCCTATCAAGAATGACGATAATGTAGGAGCTGGAAACCACACACACATACACAGAGAGAGAGCGAGAGAGAGAGAGAATAGTAAGAGTTTTGATAACCCAAAACATACCTTGCTTTCGAGTTGAGATTCTGCCACTTTCAACTTCTCGTCTACTTTCTTCAACTCATCAGTAAGCTAGCAAAAAGCCAAAAACATAATGATGTAAGAAGAGTGCTCTCTAGGACAAGGAGGCAATCTTTATGACCACAAAAACAATCAATCCCATCATTATATAGGTAACATAATGAAAAGTAAAATCGATCTGAAAGAGAAAATGGTGTTTTGAATGATTCGTGCAACATAATCATTCATGAGGAAACGAATTTCACGGTAAGATAACTGGCTAACCTCAATGGTTTTTTACAAAAGCATTTACCCATATTATGTTGGCACACCCAACAAAGTGATGGAAATTCTACTGCTTGAAGCATATTATAAGTTTAAAATTATGTTTACATCACCTCCACTATAACTTCTCCAAATTTGACTACGTAAGAGGAAAAGAAAACACCGAATGAGTTAGTGTACCTCTTCAACGGCCTTCTGTTTAAGTCGTTCGGAATACTTCAATGCTTTTATTTCTGCATAAGCCTCTCCCAGTTCTCTATCTTTCCCTACACATTAGAAATATTTTTTAATAAGAACAACCAATCTTGCATTTGTCTATTTTACCTTAGAGCAAGTACATTCCAGCTAAATTCAGGCTTTTCTGGCCTTGATTTTAAAAGAAAAGGGCAACTTGACCTCGTCTGCTTCAAGATATGACCATGGATAATAACAAAAACTGTAGAACTCAATGATTTACTTCATTTACTCGTACATGAGTTGACTGTAGGATTGTAAATTGCTTTGGGAAACTTCCAGATACAGTTAGCAAGCTTTATCCCATTTATATCTGACCCCCTACTAACCATACAATATAGAGTTTCCAAAGGAAGACTATGCTCTAACGTAGACAAGTTGGGCGAGCCCTTGGACACTTTATTTATTTAATAACATCATTCAAGAATCTGGTGCAATTGAATAAATTTTGCAATATCCATTTCAACTACTTACTATTTTAAAAACTGTCACTCGCGTCCAAAGGGAAAGGCAGTAGCTTAAAGGCACGTGGCACGTGGCGTCTGAGAAATGACAGCTTCAGAACACAATACCCATTTCATGAATGTGTTTCATCATGATATTCTCAGTTTACTAGTTTTCCGGTTTCACCTAATTACACCTACCAATCTTAAATGATTCGCATTGTTTGGTATAAAAAAAAACTGCAACTAAGTGGAGAGGAAACACTATTTCTTGATGAACTAAAAAAGGTTAAATCGTGCATCTGGAGCTATGTGAAATGCTAGGACACATAAAAGTAAGTGTTATGGAGCATCTTTAAAATGGGGAATGATGCCTTCTAAGAGAGCCCATCAAGCAAAAGCGAGTGGGTCCTCCATAATTGCCTTTACTCTCAAACATTCATAGCCCACATTCCACAACCACGTGCCGGCCAATATCACTATACTTCCTTTTTGGCTGTCCTCAGTAATAAGTAACAACAGTTGCAATCTTTATAACACAATAAAATCTTGCTTCTAACTTCTAAGGCCAATAATCTGCATAGTATCTGTCTGAATATTCCCTATTCCACACACTCCATCTTCATTTCCCATCGGAGTGGAAATTGACCCCTCCCCGCATTAAAACTGCTCAATGTCTGGCACTATAAGCATCTTAATTTTATAAGTTGAAAACAATAAAACAAACAAAACAAAAACGATTGTTGTAACAAGAACTCAACCAATCAATCCCACGCACACGAAACCTGCAAACTTACGGAATACGTAGCTCCAGAAAATGTTCTAAATCGCTCAACAAATTACGATAATCTAAAAGGGAGGGCCTGGGTTTATCACTTTCTCATTTTAGCATTTTATATTCCGCAATCACGAACACATACAGTTTCCTAACATAAATAAGATCATCACATCGAAGTGATGTAAATTTCCCAATAGACTAACAATGCCTTAGATAGCACACAGGGCCTTCTTCGTTTCGGTATATAAAATAGCAAAAATCAAATAGAATCGCACAAATTCCACAGCTAACAGAACACTTTAACTCGAACCCAAATCAGAACACTCTCTGCGAAACAACCACAATCACAATTCAGAAACAAACCACAAATCACACACACACACAAATACCTCGAACTTCGTTCTCGAGCCGAGACAGCTCGACGCGGACGGGGTCCGAGCCATGCATCAGCGTGATGACGTCATCCATGGCCGACGCGGAAGGCCTCCGCTTAGCCTTGTACGAGCCGGGTGACGTCAGCTTCGGCGTCTCCGCATCTCCACAACTGTAATTCTGATAGCTCCCCATCTAATCACAGATCAAAGCTTCTTAAACTGTTCAAATTAATAAAAAAATCCCCAAACTCCGGGCCCCGATGGACGGATAATTGCTTCTGGTTAGGGCCTCCGCCGGCAAATACGTACAAAAAAATCATTCATACGCTGTATGTATAGGTGGAGAGAAAAAGCGAGTGGCGCAAGGCACTGTCAGTATGTGTTGTGAATTGCTGTAGAGAGAGAGTTATAAAGCTTGCAAGTGTCGTAGAAAGTAACTTGTAACTGCTAAAAAAAACGAGTGTTAAACAACACGAGGTTTTCATTAGCAAGGCTCGTTGTGACTCGATTCATTTAAGAAAGAGTCTCGATTTCGTTTAAAACTCACTTGATTAATATTAAGTCGGACTCAGCTCGGTTCATGCTTGATAAATAGGAGTTTCACGTGATTTCTTTTCTTGAATTTTTATTATATATCAGCTCGTTGAGATTCGTTAGTAAGCTGAATTTGGGCTCGTTAACCGACTTTACAAGGGGCTTAGTTCGGTTCAACTAGTTTACAAACCTTATGTATATATGATGCAAATAGATTGTTTTTTTTAACATAAGATAATGTTGTTTGGTGAAAAAAGGCGTTCTTTTTTCACGCTTAGATACTAAGTACATTCATAAACTTGACTTTGAATTCTAAAATTTAACAATTGTACATCAAGCTTCATGTCATAAAATCAATAGCTTAAGTTTTTTTTCATGTCATAAAATAATTTGAAGTCAATAGCAAGAACGTGCGGTCTCATGCAGATAAAGCGCACTATAAGAGGGTGGACTTAGGTGCACTATAGTGAGATTCCAAGTGGTGATGGTAAGAGTAGTCCACTATGTATATATGTTAGGCTCAGTTTCCCTGTAGAATCAATGTAGGACAGCTCACAAGTGATACTCCAACACATCCTCTCACTTGTGAGTCCTTCATAAGCCCAAGCCTAGAGCAGGCCGAGTAGAGATAGAGACCCAAATAGGAGTTGGTCTGGTAGAGATAGAGACCCAGACAGGAAATTCCAACTGGTGATGGTAAGAGTAGTCCACTATGTATATATGTTAGGCCCAGTTTTCCTATAGAATCAATGTAGAACAGTTCACAAGTGATACTCCAACACGTCCTCTCACTTGTGAGTCTTTCATAAGCCCAAGCCTAGAGCAGGCCGAGTAGAGATAGAGACCCAAACAGGAGTTGGTCTGGTAGAGATAGAGACCCAGGCAGGAATCGGCCTGGCTCTGATACCATCATACCAAGTGAGATTTAGAAAATTGGGCCGAGTAGAGATAGAGACCCAAACAGGAGTTGGTCTGGTAGAGATAGAGACCCAGGCAGGAATCGGCCTGGCTCGGATACCATCATACCAAGTGAGATTTAGAAAATTGGGGCAAAAGGGTGCGGTCTCACGCAGATGAAGCGCACCATAAGAGGGTGGGCCTAAGTGCACCATAATGAGGTTTCATCCCAAAACCAATAGGTGATGGGAGGACTAGCCCACTAGGTATATATGTTAGGCCCAATTTCCCTATAGAATCAATGTGGGACAGCTCACAAGTGATACTCCAACAATTATAAATAACTTGTATCGTCATAATAGTTTGAGGGCTTTTTATTAGCTTTTTTTTTTAGTGGGATGGAGCGATACTTACAACTATAGTTGTAAATGAATTGAATCGAAGGGAATACTCAACTATCCGATTCGACTTCATAAAAATATTCGACTATTCATATCAGTATTCGATTTCGTTATCTAATTTAGTTTGTAATTCATATTTGATTCGATTAAGATAATTGAATATATTTAGTCCGATAACATAATATTTGATTTATAATATATATAAACATATTAGATATAAATTTAAAACACAAAAAGTAAATTTATATTTAAAAATCATATTTAGTTTATTTAAAAAATATTTTTATATTTAAAATATATAATATATTAAAAATATATATTTTNAATACCGAATTAAATCGAAAATCTTTGATTACCCTGCTTATAACAATTTGTTTGAAATAAAAAGAAACAAAATAACAAAAATGAACTATCACGTTAAGTTCCAAAATGATAGTGATTGTTGGTGAATGGTGAATAACAAAATGATTTATCACGTTAACTTCTCAAAAATGATGGTGATTGTAGTCGTTATATGGAAAACATCGATTAATATGAATTGAAAACGGAATTATACGTAAATAATCTACGATTGAGTTTTCACCCACTATAATTGTAACAACTAGCAAATAAGTTAAAATATTTATACTCTATTTTTTAAAATATAAAAAGAGAAGTCTTTATTTTAAATTGTAATACTTTTTAATAAAATTTGCATATTTATATATAATTAAAATGACCCCTGTCAATTGTACGACTACTCATCTATTGTAATATTTTTCTGAACTCAGATCATATAGTGACTATTATTTTTTAATTAATATTAATAAATAATTTGATTCATATTATGAAAATTACTATGATTATTTTATTATCGTAGTCCTAAAAAATAGATGTCAAATTGAAAATCATCAATAGTTAATTATTTTGATATATTATATAACTATTACTTTGATATATTATAATAAAGAAGCAGATAACTAATACAAAAGTTATTCACTTTATATATACTAGTACAAATCCCGTGCGATGCACGGGAGCATTTATTACTCATTTATTTTTTAAAAGGTATTTTTGTATTTAAATTGTTTCATACCATTAAAAATTTCATGAAAATAAAATTTATATGTTATTAAAAACTTCCTTATGTACAACATTATTGATTTGATTCTTTAACACGTAAAGTACTACATATGTGTTCGAATTTATCCAAAATTACATATTATTAGTTAGTAGTTAACAAATTTTAAAAAATTTAAAGAATCTTATTTATTAAACAAAATTAAAGTAGAAAAAAAGTAGAATTTTCTAGAGATTTTCACCCATTATTTATTTTAAATCTAATTCTAAATTTCAATTAAGAAAAATTGAAAAGAATCATTAGTTACTCCTGGAAATGAAACCGATTTTCCTACCAATAAATCGATTTTTTTATCAAACAGATTGATTCGAATTGTTTTTTAAACCAAATAAAAAAAATCATCAATTTTTCCTAAAAATGCAACAGAATTTTCCTAAGATTGTACCAATTTTTGTACCAAACAAATTGAATTGAAAATAATTCTAATACAAAATTGAAATAAATTTTTAATTCATGAAACTATCTCTTTCCTAAAAAAAATGATATGAACTTAACAAAAAAAAAAAAAATGATATGAACTTACCAAAATCTCGTTAAAACATGGTTAAGAAAAAACATAAGAATCCAAACAAATCGATGTATTTAAATTTTGAAAAGTTGCACACAATTTTTCCTAAATAATTGGATAAGGTGACTTTAAATATCAATGATGAACCGCTTTTGTTACCAAAAAATGTGGACACAATTTTGAATGTATATCCCGTCCAAATATCAGTTTTATTTTAAAATAAAAATTGCACGTGACTTTATCCACTTTACACAATTTTTTTGAAAGAAAAAAATTATTCAATAAGATTGAAGAATTGATTAAGAATTATACAACTATTTGCTTCCTAAATTTGTATCCAGTTTGCACGGTTTTTAAATTAATTTGTATTTAGAATTGTTTTCATAAATAATTGACATATTTTTTTGCATAAGAATCTCCAAATTTGTTACTAAAAAAATATGATTTAAATTTTGGTAAAAAATAAAATATGTACGAAAAAAATGAAATTCAAATTTTTCCATAAAAATCTCCAAATTTGTTACTAAAAAAATAGGATTTAGATTTTGTTACTAAAGATTCACATGTGTTTTTTTAAACTTTCCATTAATAGTAAGTCAAACATTATATTTATTTGGTCAAACTTTCTATTAATGTATTTTTCCAACAACCTCTTTATATAGATATAGATATAGATATGTATATATATCTATAATTTAACTTCTTCTAGGATTTTATAAGCTTACAAGTCTTAATACATTATGTATAAGTAGTTAATATTTACTTCTCTAAGGAAACACTATATAAATCAGCCAACCTTCACGAGTCAATTCTGAAAATGACAAATTGACAATACAATATTCAGTGGCAACATTTGGTTTACGAAGACTCGGCCACGATTAATGTGGTCCACCTTCAAATTCTAGCTTCAATTATCCCTTTCAACTTGATAAATAGAAAAATGTGGCCTCCCTTCAAACCTAATAATTTATACTGATTTAGGGGTGTATTCGTTTACGAGTTCAAGTGATATTTTGAGACTTTAAAATTTGAAACTTTTTAAAATTTTTAAATTTTGAAAGAATTATACGAAATCTTAAATATGGAGACTGGTGAGATTTCGTATAAAGTTTTTTTCTTTTTAAAATCTAAGCAAATCTTAAAAAGATTTAACAAATCCAATTCTCAAATAAATTAAATATATCAAAATTTTTTATAATTTTAAAATCTCAAACGAATAACTCAAACCTTAAAATGTCTAAATTAAATAAAACAAAATTTCTAAAATCTTAAAGTCTTCAAAAATATCAAATGAAATTCTGACAAAATAGTAAAATATGGCAACAATTTTGGATATATAACCAGAGAAATGTTCACATGCTCACGGTGGGTACATGTTAATATGCCCACCGTGAGCATGTGAGCATTTCCCTATATAACCAACCAATTGATTTAATTTTTGCAATTACCAATAAATAAATAAATAAGCATTACCGAGTTAGTGAAAAGTATCTGAATTTGTGGGCATTCTTAAGTTAAGATGAAACCAGCATGTGCTGCATGGCATGAATGATGACGTGATCATTAATTATGCACATCATTTAATAAAAGAACAAAAAACTCGATTCAAGCTCGGCTCGACTTCCATGATAATATTTTATTAAAAAAAAGTTTCCAGAACAAACTCGACTCACCTCATTTAGTAAATGAACTCATTAGTTGTGCGGACTCAGTTCGTTAAATACTTTAACGACAAACTAAACTGTGTTCACGAACAACTCGATTCAAATAATAACCACATCACCAAGCCACAAATTAAACTATTAAAGTCGATCAATCGATGAACAAAGGGAGAGAGAGCAATACAAGGGACAAACGCACATGCAATGCCTTGAGACAAAGTAAAAGCAAAAGCGTGATTCCTAATCTCATTCAAATTCAATGGGGTCCTTTCAAATCCTTTTATTGCAAAACGGCCCACCCTCACCCACTTACCCTATCCCATAGGCGCACCCAATCTCACCCACACTGAAAACATCCAAAAATACACAATTAGCATCCTTAATGTTGTTAAATTAAACGAGTCTAGTTCGGCTCGACTTGCTAAAGCTCGAGTTCGGCTATCAAACAAGTTGAGCTCAAACTCATTTAAAGCTCGTTTGGTTAGCTAGTCTCCATGAGGCTCGAAAGATAATTTTTATATAATTTTCTATAATTCGACTCGAAATCGGCCCGCTAAAGTTCGAACTCGGCTCGTTATTAGTGATAAACGACCCGAGCTCGAGCTCGATTTCAAGCTTGTTTATTTAACGGCCCACTCGAGCTCGTTATTAGTGGCAAATATTACACAGTGAAAACTGCAAATAATAATCCTCTCTATGCATCTGCAGATTTTTAGTGTGTACTTTAGTCTTATGACATTTCATCATAAGAACATATAGTTTTATTCGACTTGATAACAACTTTTTTTGCTAACCCAAAGAATACTAATGCATCGTATAGAACACTAACAAGTATAAGAAATCGGGACCTTTGATGTGGCTCGACTTAGGGGAAGACATGAAATGAAGACAAGACAAATTCACAAGGCCAAGATCAATGACAAAAGATCAGATAATAAAGTGAGATAATCACATAAAAATCTAAAGAAGTGCTACTAGAACAGATAGTGCTAGATACCAATTAACGTGCAGAAGGTATTCAAAAGATAAAAATATAAAATTTATTGTCCACAACACCATAACAGCTTTCATGATCAAATAATGATCAGAACCCGAAATTCAGCTTCGAAGATATAGTAAATAACAGTTTTCAGAGTACCAATATCAGCAAAAGAAAATAGTGAGGGAGAGAAAGGAGGACGGAATACAGTAAATATGGAAATAAAATAAGCATAATTGAAATTGATTTTCTGATTAAACCAAAAAGAAAGCCTGTAATTTTTGCACAAGCAAGAACTTTATATTGCCATGATAGAAGAATATAAAAGTTCGGATAAAGTAAATCACTCCTTTTATGTCAATAAAGATAGTATAAGAAGACGTGCGTGCGATACAACAGACTGCTCGTCAAAAAATATTAAAAGCTAACATCAGTCACTGGCATGCGAAACGGTCAAAATATTCTACTTTGTTATATAAAGAGACGTATTTAGCAGCTAAGGTTCATATATCATCACTTCAAAGCCTAGTTGACAATTTATGGAAGCAGAGCAGATTAAGAAGCTGAAATTTGCAATTGCAACCAAAAAGTAGAGCACTTAATGTTACCTGCCTCTTGATTAAAAACATGAAGTGTAATCATAACATGGCAAATTTTCAAATCATATTCTCATGAACTATATCACTTCTAGCTTCACTTATCATCCGGATCAATGTCGAAGGACATGTCATCATCCTTCATGTATTTCTCCTGTACAGCTGCAACTGTGAATCCAACATGTCAAGGAAAATCCAATTGCACTTTTAACCGATACATTAGATTCAAGATTTTTTTTTTTTTTTTTTNTTTTTTTTCCCTTAGGTTTAGTCAGATTACAAGATAACACACATCCTACTGGCCATATTTAACATGAACCATGGCTTAATTTTGATAATCTATTAAATGAGATAAAAAGAGAGATGATTGAAAGAAAACGAAAGTAAAAACAAATGTTTGGTCATGATTAAGGATATCTGTAATAATCCCAATCGGCTGGAGCAACTGCTATTTTGCTGAATTCAACTGCACTTGCATCAATACCAGAAAATATATAGCCGTTTGTCTTGTCAATGAGTTTAACTAGATTTGCAACGTTCTCTTTATCCTGTTAAAGCTTTGAGGTTAAGACTATTAGAGAAACAAAAAAGCTCATTATTGACTCGTTACACCATGTCAGAGATTTGAACGTACCTGAATGTCTAAAGTGCTGAAATTGACGAGACCGTAATTTTCAATCACCTCACAAAGCTCCTTCGTTAGCTTCCTGCACGAGGATAGGAAACTAATTGGAATAGAGTAGCTAGTGCTGTTAAATTAAACGAGCTTGGTTAAGGCTCGAGTTTGGCTCCACTCATTTAATAAACGAGCCGAGCTCGATTTCAAGCTCGTTTATTTAACAGTCACCCAGATGGTTTCATACCTATACTTGGCATATCGAGGATCTTGATCGAGATGGTGCTGCAAATATGATAAATCAAGTACATCAGTGTAGAAGTCAAGGTTGAAAGCTGCAATAACAAAACAAAGATTAAGGACTTCCATAACGTCAAAACTTTTATGGTAGGCTTCACCAGAGAAGAATCTAAAATTTGCTTGTAATATCAAAAAATATAAAATTGCTCCCACCTAGCTTGCCATAGCTTTCAATCAGATCAATCTTAGACAATACATTGACATGAGGGAGCTCCAAGTGCACCATGGTTGACAATGAAAGAAGCAAAGCACTTACATACTTCCCAGGATCACTACAAAGATGGGCATCAACTAAATGCACAGCAGTCAACTGCAAAAATGAATAAAAATGATAAAAAATAAATAAATAAGAGAAGTCAAGGTTATGCCACGTGTCCAGGTATGATCAGTGCCAACAGCAAGTCTCATCAGTTTATGTAACATTAAAAATGGATCCTAGGAAAAAATTCTAAAAGAATTCCATGATATGGAGATAGCTGGTGGAGATTAAAAAAACATACCCTGAGATTTAACTTCTTTATGAGTTTCATAATTACTCCCTTTGCATTTTCATGAAGGAAAAAGAGTTCCACTTGTCCAGGGAAATCAAAGAGGAGGTAGTGATCTGCAAAGTTAAGCTAATTTGAAGCTATTCAAAAAGTGCAAAATAAAATAAATTGGGTATAG